CTGACATGGGCCTCACTGGGCTACACTCAAGTCGTCTGCAGGGGTGCGTTCCTTCTGCAGGCTCTTGGGGCAGACCGTCTTTGCTTGCCTTTCCCTTCTCCTGGGGACCCAGCCTCTTCCTGCACGCTCCAAGCCCCGGCCGCAGGCTCAGTCTCTGGGCCTTTCCCCAGCTGTTCCCTCTGCCTGGAGGGCTCTTCCCTCCGAGATCTGCATCTCTCACTCTTCACCTCCTGCAGGTCCTTGCTCAGAAGCCTAACTGAGCGCTACCACCCGGCCCTGTCGCAGTGCGGACGCCGGCCTGAGCCCGCTGGGGAAGGAGCAAGCCCTCCCCAAGGAGGTCATGCGGCCAGACAACAGCACTGGCCCGTCAAGGCCCCGGGTCGTCCTACCTCACTCTCGCTTCCTGCCCTTGGCTCCGGCCACCGCCCAGCTAGTGCGCTCAGAGCTCAGATCAAAGGCTTCTCCCACCCGTGGCTCCGTGGCTCCGATGCCTCAAGGGCAGAGCGACAGGGAGGTAGGTGGTGGACCGCGGGAGGAGGGACGGCTGAGACGAGGAAGTGTCAGGCACATCTCCACCCCATCTCCCCGGGGAAGAGCTACATCCACGTGTTTAAATGTCAGGGCTGCGCGTAGTGCGCTAAGCCATGAAACAGACCTGCTCTCTCCTTGTTCGTGGCAAACACCCCCTGCGGCATCCTGGAAGGCTAGGTCTGGGTTCACCGTCTGGGTTCCCCTGAGTTCTTTGCATGAACGGTCAACATAGAGGGAATGTCAGGTGGGCCCCTGTTCTGAGACCTTCAGAGTCCCCAGTATGTACCTCCTCGAGGGGTTTGCTCAGCTCACAACCAAACTCTTATCTACACGTCCCTGGGGCCATGCACCCCAGCAGGACAATCTATCCTCAGCAGGACCGAGCTGGAGACGAATGCTGCCAGGGCCATCTGCCTGGGGAATTTCAGGCCCTGGCCCTCGAAGCGTGGTCTAGTAGTGGGGCGCAGGCTCCTCATGAATGGGGAGGCCTGGGTGGAGGAAGGCAGAGGAGGGTCCGGGGCAGGAAGATACCTGCAGTTGGGAGATGAGGGTCATCGCCATGGAGACCAGGCAACATCAACAAGCTCACCCAAGGACCACCCTGTGGCTAGCCACCCCCTTCCCCAAAGCCCTGTGTCCCATGAGTTCCCTCTCTCAATCCACGCGGACACCGTCTTAGGGAGAGAAGCAGAGAAAGGAAGCAGTGCGCCAGGGCGTGTTTCCTAACAAAGTCTGAACAAACACCTCCTTCGGGGCCATGGAAGCTTCCGGATGTAACCACACTTTAGACCAACGGGGCTGAAGTCAAATTCTCCCCCTAACACACAGCGGCCTACAAGAGAGCAGTTGGTGTCTCTACCTCGGAGATGAACCTGGAGATGAACAAGATTGTTGAATGATGGACAGGGGGCTTCTGGCCCAGCAGGAGCGGGCTGCACACGCAGGGACAGTCAGGAGCTGGCTCAGCCAAGAGACCTTGGGGCACCCAGAGCTCAGGCGCAGGGAAGGGGTGAGGTTCACACATACTCTGGGTCCTGAGTGAGGCTCTGGTGCCCAGCCTGGCTGGCCCCGGGGAGCACTGTGCCACATTGCCCCCTTGTGGACGCTCATGTGGCCGGCCCTTTCCCAGGCCCCCAGAAGGCTGAGGGTACAGCCTGGGCATTCTGGGGCCCGGAGCGCCCTCTTGTGAAGAAGGGAGGAGGGCAGCCTAAGTTCCCAGCCGGCCCAGCACCCAGGCAAGTCCCCTTGGCTCTGCTGGGGTCCTTTCCTTGGTTTCAGACGCCCCCGAGCTCTGGCCAGGAGGCAAGCTGCCCTGAGGTACCTGTGCCCACCTGGAACTAAACATGAATCCCACCAAATGTGCATTTTGATCACTAAGTCAAGAAAGGGCTGTAGGCGCTGGGTCAGGCTTTTCCTCCAGGTGGGCTAGTGGTGGGCCATCGGTGAGCCATTCGGCATCGTGGTGGTGTGGGAGGGCCTCCCAGGAGCCTGCACTCACCCTGAGGGCCCTGTGCAGCCCGCCGCTCTCCTCCCAGGGGCTCTGGCTCTCCCCGCTGCTGAGTCTCCACTCCCCACAGCCCCTGCACTCAGCCCCACACCCAGTGGGGGAGAGGGTGCAAGGCTAGAGAGGGCCACATGGATGGAGGCGGCCATGGGGACAGAAGTGGTCATCAGGACTAAAGCAAAGGGCTGCCGCCAGCTCAAACCACCAGCGGCTCAGGCTGTGTGGGGCGGGCTGGGACTGCACCGGCTGAACACAACCTCTCCCACATTTGGTCTCAGGTCCTAGAATAGTCCAGACTTTTCTCTCCTTTGCCTGCCGCTCAGGAGCAAATGTGACGGTGGCCACAAGCTACTCAAATACACCGTTTGGGCCATCTTCATGCCTTCCCCATACTTTCCTGGTTCCCAGGAGTCCACAGGGCGTATGCTTCAGTTCCACTGGCAGGAGAAGCAGAGGAGGGTCCCCTTAGATCCCACTGCACTAGGACTGGGGGCAGGACAGCCGAGAGGTAGACTGGACAGTGGCCCCTGTGTGCACACGGCGTGCTGAGGGCTTTGGGGAAAACCTGTGCCCCTCTGGAGCCCAGCTGAGTGTCCACATTGGAGGCTCAATCTGTCCCAGGCCTGTTCACGCCCACTGTGGGCACAGCCTCCTCGAGGTGCTCCACCAGGCCTCCCACTCAGCCCTGAGACTATGCCCTTGCTGTTCCCTCCACCTAGAAGGTTCTTTGCCCAGACGCCTGCATGGCTTTCTCCTTCTGGTATCCTCCTGGTCACCTGTCTTTTCTGAGGACTCTGAATGAAAGCCAGGAAGAGTTGGGGTTGGAGCTGGGATCCTGGTGGGGGTCAGAGAGGCACCTGGAGAAAGGGACAGGGAAGGGTGGGGAAGGGTGGGGGCTCTGACCTCCCCTCTTGCCCCTGACCGAGCCTCTCACCTTGAGCTTCTCCCTGGTAGCAGTCTCCCTACGGAACTGAGCCTCAGAGCGCCTCCTGCAGGGCTGTGGAGGGGTGGCCAGGGGCTGGAAGGAGGCATGGACCCTGGGCCTGGGAGGCGCTGTTGCGCAGCTGAAGACCTCTCTTCCGGGAGCTGAGCCAACACAGTCTGTTCTGTGACCTCCACACAAGCCACCGCGAGCCCCACTTCCTGGGTGCATCATTCCTCCATATGTGGCCGTGATCCCAGGGTGATGCTCCTGGCCCCACAGTCTGCCACCACCTTCTGATGAGCAAAGCCCCACGCACTGTGGCAAAACAGTACAAAACAAACCAGCAGACAAAGCCAGTATCACTGATGCCTGAGGTCTCTCTAGAGTGTTGGATGAGAGACTGGAATGCGCACTTCACAGTTAAGAACCAGGTTCAAGGGCACTTGAGTGACTTGCCCCAAACTGTACATATAGGAGTAGAATGAGGACTCATCCCACCTCTAGTGCTGTGGGGCCAGTGCTGTATTGTTGTTTTTTTTTAATTTTTAATTTTTATGTCTTTATTTTATTTTGAGAGACAGAGACAGAGAGCGAGTGGGGGAGGGGCAGAGAGAGAGGGAGACACGGAATCTGAAGCAGCTCCAGGCTCCGAGCTGTCAGCGCACCCACGGACCGTGAGGTCATGACCCGAGCTGAAGTCGGACGCTTAACTGACGAGCCCCCCAGGCGCCCCGAGTGCTATTTCTTTTTCTCCACCACTGCCTCAGCCAAACATAAGGTGTCATCCACAGCCATAGCCTGGGGGGTTGTGGACTCACACTGTGTAGGACGACTGTACCTCATCTTCTGGTCCCCACAACACCCCTAACCAGGTAGCAAGGGTACTGGCTCTGATCTTCCCTCTACAGAGGAGGAAGTGTGAGCCGGCTTTGCTCACACACTTGTCTGATTTACAAGCCTGCGTGTGTTTTCCCTGGGGCCAGCCCAAGCTTGGCTCTGGATGACTTAACGGGGAAAACCAGATGGGGCCTGGGCAGAAGGGGGTAGCACACAAGAGGGCAGGGGTGCGGTGGGCGAGAGGGAGCCTCTGAGAGACCGCAGACGTGCTAGGGCATCGTCGTGGGAGGAACGTCAGACTGAAAAAGAAGAGAGTGAGGAGCCAGAAAAACCCTTGAGTGGTCTGGGAAGTTGGGGGAGGGAAGGAGGGCAGGACAGGGCAGCCCCTCCTGTCTTAGCGGGGCATTCGGGGCCACTGCCGTGCCGCTGGGTGGGCAGGGCATCTCCCTGGGCTCAGCTTTCGGGCCGTCGCCCCGTTCCTGTTGCTTTCGGTGGCCAAGTTGGCTTGCAGCCGGGGATTTGGACACGCTTACACGCCCTGCACTGTGGCCAGTGACCCGTTTTTTCCCTCCCATCAGTAGCTGCATCAGAGGCGCTCCCTCTCCCTCCTCCTCCCAGCTGACTCCCAGCAAACTCCCCCGCCGCGGGGGACGGGGGGACGCAGGGACGCGCCAGCCACCCCAAGGCCAGGCCACACAGCCTGCGGCCAGGAGAGAGGCCGGGACTCGCTATCGGCGGGGGCGGGGCCGTGCCGTCGGCGGGGGCGGGGCCTGCTGGGCTGTGGACGGGGAGCGGGGCTGTGCTACAGGCAGGGGGCGGGGCGGGCTGTCTGCGGATCGGGGCCGACCTTTCCTAGGGTCAGGGGTCACGCTAGGCTCCATGGGCGGGGCCGTGCCCACGGCGGGGGCCGGGTCGGGCTGCCGGCGTGGACGTGGCCGCGCCGTCGGCGGGGCGTGGTCGCGCTGTTGGCAGGGGGCGGGACCGGGCTGTGGGCGGGTCTGGGCCGGCCTTTCCGTGGGGCAGGGGTCACGCTGGTCTCCACGTGCTGGGCCGGGCCGTGGGCGGGTCCGGGTCGGCCTTTCGGTGGGTCAGGGCCCAAGCCCGTCGCTGTGGGCGTGGCCTGGCTGTGGGGCCTGGGCGGGGCCGGGCTCTAGGCGGTGGGCGGGGCGCGCCGGGAAAAGTTCCGGGAAGGTGAGCTAGTCCAGACCCGGCGCGGAAGTTGGTGGCGTCCGTGCGCCCTCCGGTCGAGGCCCACGGCCATGTCCTCAGGGGGCGCCGGGACTGGCGGGCGCGAGGGGGCCCCGCGCACGGCTGCGGCGCTCTGTGGCCTGTACCACGAGGCCGGGCAGCGGCTGAGGCGCCTGCAGGACGAGCTGGCAGCGCGGGATGCCCTCATAGAGCGCCTCCGCGCCCGTCTGGCCGCGCTCGAGGGGGACGCGGCGCCCTCGCTCGTGGACGCGCTGCTGGAGCAGGTGGCGCGCTTCCGGGAGCAGCTCCGGCAGCGGGAGGGCGGCGCCGCGGAGGCCGCGCTGCGCCAGGTGCGGCCCTGTGGGCGAGCCGCGCTTCCTCAGACCGCAGCGGGGTGGGCGCGTCAGGGCCGCGGGCTTGCGTCCTGCTGGGTTGGGACGGGTTCGAGTGTGCGCTCCAGGGCTGGCTGTGAGGCCAGTGGGTGGCGGTGGGTTCTGAGGAGCGTGTGCACGTGCGCTGTTAACCTTAAAAACAAAGCTGCCAGTTACTTTCCCAGAAAGGCTAGGTTTATTTGGAACAGCAGGGAACGGCAACCCAGGGGCAGCGAATGAAGACGGCGAACCGTACCCGGCGGCGCAGAACGCCGAGGAAGCTCTTATGGAATTGGCGGGGGGGGGGGGGGGGGGGGGAGGCTGTTGTAAACAGAAAGTCCATTGGAGGAAACTGGGAGCTGGAAGTGTGGTGGCTTCTCATTGGCTGCGCTGCCGCCGGCGCCGCGGGACGCCTTCCTTCCTCCCGGGATCGGGAAGACGTTGGGCCTCGCGAGGCCCTCTGGCGGCGGGCTTCGCGGTTGGGCAGGCGTGGTTCCAGATAAAGTTTCCTTGTATTGATTTTCGCAGTTTGGTTCTGACAACTGTGTGCCCACGGGCCGTGTGAGGGTTGTGCGTTCTTGTCGGCCAGCCTGTGGTGGGTTCCGAGGGAGGAGCGTTCTCGACGGTTCTGAGGTGTGTGCGCATGAGGTGGCGTCCGAACGGGAACGGTGTGCTCCCGTGTTGGAGCTGACGGGGCTGTGCTGTGCGGGGAGAGGTGTGTCTGGGTCGGTTGTGAGGGGTGTGTGCTGTGCGGGGAGAGGTGTGTCTGGGTCGGTTGTGAGGGGTGTGTGCTGTGCGGGGAGAGGTGTGTCTGGGTCGGTTGTGAGGGGTGTGCGCGCCCGTGTTGTGCGGGGAGGGGTGTGTCGGGGCTGGAGCTGACGGGGGCGTGCCCCCTGTTAGGTCTGAAGGTGGTTGGAGGGGTGGTGTTTTTTCTCGTTGATTCTGAGGATTGTCTAGGTGTTGCGTTCTGAGGGGTGTGCTCCATGTGTGTCCGCTTATATCTGAAGGTTGTGTCAGGGTTAAGGGTTGTGTGACCCTGTCGGTTCCGAGGCGGGTGTGTGTAACCGTATTGGGCAGGACGGTTGTGTGTCTGTGCCTGTTCTGAGGTGTGTAAGCCCCCCTGGGCCTTGAGGAGGGTGTATGCATGTTCTGGTGTGAAGGTTGTGTGTGTGTTGATTCTGAGGGTGTGTGAGGGTGTTCGATTCTGAGGAGTGTATCCTGTGTTGGGTCAAAGGGTGTCTGCCCGTGTTGGGACCTGAGGGGTGTGTGCTCACGTTGAGGGTTGTGGGGGCTTGTTGGTCTGAAGGTGTGTGTGTTCGGGTGTCGGGTCTGAGGCATAGGATGCTTGTATTTGGGTTCTGAGGGGGGCGTGTGCCTGGGTTTTGTCTGTGGGGTGTTGGTGTGTGTTAGGTTCCCAGGTGTGTGCTCCTGTGCTGGGTACGGAGGGGTGTCTGTGCTCCTCTGTGGGGCAAGAGGGGGTGCGGGTGTTGATTCTGAGGGGTTCATGCCTATTTTAGGTTCTCAGGGGTGTGCTCCCATATTGGGGCTTTGAGGGTATGTGCCCAGGTTGCGACTCAGGGTTGGGTGTCTGTGTTATTCTGAGTGGTGTGTCTCTGTTGGGTCTGAGGGTTGAGTTCCATTTGGTTTTACAGGGCTGGCTGTCCTTGTTGGTTCTGATATCTGTGTCTCCACATGTTGGATCTGACGGATGTGTGTTTGTGTTGATTCCGAGAGGTATGATTACGTTAGGTTCTGAGGGGCGCACTCCCAGCCTGGGTTTGAGGGGTATGCTTCCAAGTTGGGTGAGAACGTGTGTGCCTGTGTTGGTCTGAGGAGTGTGTTGGCTTCTGAGGTGTGTGCTCCTTTGTTGGTTGTGAGAGGTGTGCCTCTTTTGCGTTCTGTCGGCGGGGGGTGCCTCTGTTTGGTCTAAGGATTGTGTGTCCATGGCTCTACAAGTGTGTGTGTTGATTTGAGAGGTGATGTGCCTGTTTGAGGCTCTCAGGCGTGTGCCTTGGGATTGGGTTCTGAGGGATCTGCTTTTCTGTGCCCATTGCGGGTTGTGAAGGGTGTGTGTGCCCATGTTTTTTCTGGGGTGTGTGTACCTGCATAGGTTCTAAGGCATTGTGTTATGTTGGGTTCGGAGGCGCATGTGCACCTGAGAGGCTTCTCGGTGGTGTGTGTGTCTATCTTAGGTCTGAAGTGTTTGTGTTTGTGTCAGTTCTGAGGTGTGTGTATACATGTTGGCTTCAGAGTGTTGTGCTCCCATGTTTGTTGTGCTTCCGTGTTGGTTTGTGAGGAGTGTGTGTGCCCATCTGGATCAGAGGTTGTGTGTCTGTATTGGTTCTGAGGGGCATGTAGTCCTGTGTCGTGCCCATATTGGGTCCATTGGTTGTGTGGTCATATTGGTTTCTGAGAGGTGTTCTGTTTGTGTGGGGTCTGAGGTATGCATGTTGAGTGTTGGTTCTGAAGGGAGTGCTCCCATGTTGGGTGAGGGTTGTGTGTCCTCGTTGATTTTGAAGTGTGTTTTTGCTCCTGTGTTGGGTCTAAGGGGTGTGTGTCCCTATTTTGGGTTCTGAGAGGTGTTAGATTCTAAAGGGCATGTGTGCTTATCTGAGGGTTGTGTGTTGATGTTTATTCTGAGGGTTGTGTCCTTGTTGGCATCTGAGGATTGTGTTCCCTTGTTGGGTTCTGAGTGGTGTGTGTCCCTTTTGGGTCTGAGGCGTGTTTGTCTATGTTGGTTCTGAGAGTGTGTGTGCCTCCATGTTGGATCCCAGGGGCATGTGACCCTGTGTTGGGTTGATGAGTGTATACCTGTGTCATGTCTGAGGTTTGTGTGTGCATATGGGGGTGAGAGGAATGTGCCCACGTTGTGTCTGTGGGTGTGTGCACCTGTATTGGGTTCTGTGAGTTGTGTGTGCCTGTGTTGGTTGAGGGTTGTGTCTGAATTCATTTTGAGGGGTGTGTATGTGTATGTGCACGTTGGGTTCTGAGGGGTGTACTCCCATGGGCATGAGGCGGGTGTGGCTGAGCTGTTTTCTGAGGGGCATATAGGATTTGGGATTCTGAGGGATGTGTGTGCCCATTTGGGCTTTGAGGCTATGTACCCATGTCAGATCCCAGGGGGTGTGTGCACCAGGATTGAGTTGTGAGAGGCATGTGTGCCCATGTTGGTTCTGGAGAGTATGTGTGTTCTCACATTGGGCCTGAGTGTTGTGTGCAACCGTATTGGGTTCTGGGGGATGTGTGTGCTCATGTTAGGCCTAAGGGTTGTGTGTTCACGTGTCCTTGTTGGGTCCGTGGGGTATGTGTGCAAATGTTAGGCTGAAGGGTTATGTTTCTGTGTTAGTTCTGTGGGTGTGTTTGTCTGCGTTGGGTTTGAAGGGTGTGTGCCCATTTTGGGTTGTGAGCAGTGTGTGTCCTGAGTGCCTCCTCCAGTAGTGGATATGAGGGCTGTGTCTGTGTTGGGTTCTGAGAGGTGTTTGTGCCCATGTTAAATATGAGGGTGTGTATTTGGGTTTGTTTGGAGGATTGTGTGCATGTGTTATGCTCTGAGGACTGTGTTCCATATTGTGTTGAGAAGTGTGTGCCCATTTGCATGTTAGGGTTGTGTTAGGTTTAAGGTTTGTGTGTCTGTGTCGGTTCTGAGAGGTGTGTGTTCCCACATTGGGTTCTGAGGAGTGTGTGGCCTGTTTGGGTGAAAGGGTTGTATGTCCATGTTGGTTCTGAGGGCTGTGTGTACCCGTGTGTTTCACGTTGGTTCTGGGGGGTGTGAACATATCTTAAATTCTGAGCAGTGTGAGCCTATGTTGTGTTCTGAGGGGTGTGAGCCCAGGCTGGGCTTTGAGGAGTCAGTCTGACTATCTGGGTCTGAGGGTTATGTATCCATATTGGTCGTAATTACCGGGTGTTCCTGTGTTGGGTCTGAGGGTTGTGTCCGTGTTGGTTAGTGGGCTGTGTGTAACCCTGTGGGTTATGAGGGTTTGTGTGCGTGTTTGATTCTGAGGGACTTTGGGTTCTGATGTCTTTGTTAGGTTCTGAGGGGTGTGTGTCCCTTATAGGTTTGAGAAGTGTGCACCTGTGTTGGGTTTGAAGAATGTGTGTGTGTGCACATGGAGGGTTCTGTGTATGTGTGTGTTCACGTTTAATTGTGTGTGTAGACACTAGGTTCTGGGTGTGTGTGTGTATGTGTGTGCTGTATGTGCGTATAGTACATGGGTATAGGCTTCTGGTGTGTATGTGTTCACATTGGCTTCTGGGCCATGTGAATCCCTATTATGTTCTGGGCTGCTGGGACCTATGACAATGGCAGTGCCTGCTAGAGTATCAGATAACACACTTAAATCTTACTTTCCCTCCCCCTCTTCCTTGTTGATGTTATGTCTGTCTTTTTGAAATACCATAAACACTGGGGCACCTGGGGGGCTCAGTCGGCTAAGCGTCTGACTTGGCTCAGGTCATGATCTTGCGGTCCGTGAGTTTGAGCCCCGCATCGGACTCTGTGCTGACAGCTCAGAGCCTGGAGCCTGTTTCAGATCCTGTGTCCCTCTCTCTGTGCTCCTCCCTGCTCATGCTCGCTCTCTCTGTCTCTCAAAAATAAATAATCGTTAAAAAAATTGAAATACCATAAACACTCAGACCAGGAGCAAAGCAAGAGTGACAGTATTTTTCTAGAACTGTTTGGAAGTGCCCACACACATTTGTGCGAACTCTAGGGTTCCATTTGGGCCACAGCTGTCATCTGGGTTGTCTGAGGAAAGAAGCTAGGTCTACAAAAGGATTAGACTGCAAAAGACAGTCTTCACTTCTAGGCTTGGCCCTGCAGCCAGATTGTAGACTGAAAAAGAGACATGCCCTCACCTGCCCTCCCCCCTTTTTTTTTTTATTTTTACTATAAAAGTAATTTTGAATATCTGAAAAATAGAGGAGAGAATAGAGAAAACACTAACAGCCGCTGTAATCCCACAATGTGGGGGATAACC